CCCCGCCTCCGTTTCCGCCATCATCTCTGCCGTCGCGCCTTCGTCTCGTCGGCATACGAGTATTCTCCCGCCTTTTAGCACCTCTGTGGTGCTCACCTTCTGCAGAACAACTCGCCCTGCCTTCGCCGTCATTTTCGTCTCCGCCACTTGGTCCTCCTGCTCCTCCTCCGCCCGCGCCTGTGCGCGGCCACTTCCTGCGCCGGGGCCCCTCTGCGCTCCCAGAGCTCTTCGCCTCCAGAGCGACTTCCCCGCCCCGCCCGGGGCACTGCTCAGCACGTCCCTCTGCCCCTCCCAACCGGCTTTTTGCGCAGCCAGTGGATTAGGCCTCCGTTGATTGCCTCCGCAGCGCGCGCGGCGCTGCCTGGACGCGAAATCTCTACAGGTGGAAAAAGCGCTCCGTGTTTTTGATTAACATTAACTGTTCAATAATTCAAAAACTCATAACCAGACGTTCTCACGCATCACGGACTTTCGCGTGTGGTTTGCCGTGCACAGGTTGTGGAAACAATGTTTTGTCGAGTGGAGACAACTTCTTCCTGGTTTTGTTTTGTAATGCACTATTCGGTTTACTTGGGTTCGTGTGCGAGACCGAAGGATTGATTATAACGCATTTGCATTTATTTTGAAAGATTCCATTTTTCCCTCGTGTTTTAGGGCATTTGTTTTTAGCGAATTCGTTTTGCGAGCGTTTTGCTTGTGGGTATTGCAACAGGACATTTATTATGTAGGCACAGTTTTATTTTGGAACTTTGTGTCGGAAATCGGGCATAAAACTATACGCACGGCATGAATACTTTATTGACATTTGTTGGCAATGCGATGTTGTAGCTTAATTTGATAAAATTTCTCGTTTTCAATATCTTTTGGATTAAAATATAAAAATTTTGTTCTTAAATATATTAACTTATGACGAGGTTGTTATTAGCGATAAAAACATTAATTAGAAAATCATTCGAATCGTAACTAACTTCTGAAACGCATTTATAACTCGTGATATTCGATACAATATACATTTGAGTGTTTCAGAGCAAGAATGTTTAGTTTTCAATCTTCTAAATTCTTACTGATATATCAGAAGGATCATTTAGGAATTTGAGGGGTTTTATATTTCTTGAGACATTTCATGGAGCAATACGAGTCCAAATCATTGAAACTAGAGCTCTTGTTCAGGAGGTTTATACTAATTTCAGACGAAGATAATGGATAAAATATGAAATAAGCTCGCGCCATACAAGCTTATTTCATTCCCGAATCTCCTTTATGCCCGAAGAGGACTCATTTTCGGCCAAGCAAATGTGGGCGGGCGGGGAGCAAACGTTTGCCTTGGGGCGCTTTGCCTCTTCCATGCCCCGCCACGCCCCTCGCGGGGGCTGATTGAAACGGCGCAATCGCAAACCCCAAAGCACGCGCTAACGGCGTGATGGCCTGTGACCGTGTTGGCCTCCGCCTCTCGGCTCTCAGCCCTGCGTCTCCTCCCCGCTTCTGTCCTCGCGCGCCCACCGCTACTCCTGCCTACTCCTGCAACTCTCGTCACTCCGTCTCTTTCCCCACAGATCCTCCCCGACTCCTTTCTTCGCAGCTTCTTTGCGCCACCCGCGTTGCCTCGTAGCCCTTCCCCACCTCCGCCAAGCCCTCCTTCCAACCTCTCGCTTTTCCTCCTCCCCCCCCCCTGCCCTGCCCAAGGGGCTTCTCCGCACCACTCGCCTCCGCCTCCGCTTCTCGTCCCGTCGTGTGGTGATTTGTAATCCGTTTCCCCCATTGTTTTATTTTTCCCTGGAGGGTAGCGGCGAGTATGGGGATCTGATTATTATCGACCATTCTGCCCCTTTCGACGTCGCCTGGAAACACATGCTTTTTTTTCTGATGGCGGCTGATGTGCGGAAAGAGGACCCTTGGACGTGCTAAAAACTCCACAATCATTCTAGAAGAGAGGCGACGAGGAAGCTGGAGAACGGTTGAACTGATGAACGTTGAAAATTGATGGAAATATTTAATGAGGAACATGAAAAAATGAGTGTGAACGCGCCTTTGAAAACTGAATTTTACTTCAAAAATTTCTCAATGCTTCTAAATTGAAATGTGTTATGAATATGTATTATGCAATTTTTGTATTTCCAAATGCCGGGGTAAGCGTTTATTTATAGTTATTAATTGTGAGGGGTGCAGTATATTATTTTATTGTTTGTTATTAAAAGTTGTTAAAAATCTGTCGAACGTCAACGTATGTGCCGAAGAAAACTGATTTATCATTGTTAAGCGGCTATCACACCATGCATCAAAATCTTAATTTCTGTGTGAGTAATGTAATGAAAATGACATTTCTAGAGACGGCTTAACTGCCAGTATTATGCACACTTCATTATTATTATTATTATTATTATTATAATTATTATTATAATTATTATTATTATTATAGGTAAGAATTTAATAATATACTAGTAGGGGTGCATCACGACTAGTTTTGCTATAGCTAACTCCTGTTGAACACTGCGCTAGCTCTGGTAACTTCACCATTTTTGCCGTTCATTGTATGTTTTAAACGTTAATTGTATTTACCGCTCCCTCGCTTTTTCTCGTCGGTTCTGCCTCCAGATGCACTGTGAGAGTGGGTGAAGAATGAGAGCATGGGTTAGCAGTGAATCTGTGCGTGATCAATCGTTTTTTACTTTTGTCTTTACGCGTTCCACTTCTTATTACCGCTTTTGTGTGAAAAAAATATAGACTTATTATCGTTACAGGTTTGTTTCAGTGGCGTTTATTCGTTATTTCCTTCATTCTCTTGCGAGAAAATTTGGAAAAGGAGAGAAATAGAGCGATATTTTTAAAAGAGTATTCTCTGCGAATAATATGTTGTAAGTTGTAGAAAAGTATGTTATGTGCACATCTTTGTTTAGTCTTTCCATATGTGTACGTAGTTATTGTGAACGAATGGTAGTGTTCTTGGTGACCCCAGAAAGCATGCCGTTCGTTATGTTGTGTATTTATTTTTGAACGTGATGGAAAAAATGTTTTATTACATTTAAACAATACTGTATCTTTGACACCAGTGAGTAAGCTAATAAGTCAAGTTGATACTGAAAATTATGATCAAGTATTTCTGGAGTCCCCTAATAATTATCTTTATGTTCGAATAATCACACGAGATTAACTACTGGTCGCTGAGTAATTGGGGAATTTGTGTTTTTTCTATCGTAACGTAAATTTCAAATAATTATTAACCGTAATCGGTTCAGTTTGTTATTTATAGACGTGTAAGATCATTGATGAGCAACAAGTTGAATGTTTACTCACTCTACAAGAATAGTTCAAATAATCATAGGATATCACGATATGTAACTGTACCATAAAATTAAATTCCCACGAGTTATTAACGTATTCACAGGGATCAAAGATATAATATAAATATGAACCTTTTAGTATATAGTGTGTGAGAACTATTTGCACCACGAAAATCACTGCAGAATGTACTTAAGGAGTCATTGTTTAATTGTTTAGCATGTCATAAATATTATTTATAACCTTTTGGCATGCCTAGAATTGTATCATTGTATTGAGAATGAGTAGGATTGGCCGGATTTATTTTATTTTAATCTGTTGATTTTAATAGTTAGCAAATTTAACTCACGGAATCGATTTTCTGTGTGTAATCCTATAATGGATTTAACACTAAGAAAATCGTGAACTGTTTGGGTATCAATACAGATTTCGCGCAGTTGGGATTGTGAAGAACACCTACTCATTTGCATTTATAGATAAGTAGTTGTAGACATGTGTAGTTGTAGATGAATGTTAGTATAGACGTATCTTTCTTTATTGGTCATCCTATTGAACCGGACCGATTTTTATTGATCACGACCCACGAAATTCGCTAATTCACGTGTGCACCCAAAACAATAATTAGCTGACCGCCTACCCAGTGCAAAATAATTTTGAAAAGTGAAAATTTTTTATTTATTACGTTTACTTCAGACATCACTGAAAGCGTTTCTTTCTCTGTTTCCAAATTATTTGATGCTCTTGTCTGACTTAATAATTTAATGTCAGGTCACTTTTAGATTTTGAGAGTGAACTCATCTTAAAATTGCATAAATGGATAATTGACTTGGCTAAATTAAATATTGACAAGAATGAAAGAGACAGAAGTGAAAGTGAAAATCGGAAATGATGGGGAAAAAGCATTCTTGTTGAACTTTGGGTGCACAAAGACGTCTTATTACATGGTTACATTATTTTGTTTGCTACATGTTTCGTAATATATGCATAAATGAATGGGTGAAAACCAGAAAGTTATAAGTGAGGTTTTATAAATTCTGAGTAAAATCGTGTTTATTTTAGAATGTACTTCAGTGGCAATGTATTTTCGTGCTTTTAATGAACAATTAAAATGCCGTGGTTTTAATGATGAAACAAAGCTGCAAAGACTTTGCAGTAATATTGGTTAAAATATAAAGAAATATCTCAGAATTTATAAAATGTCACTTACACCGTCTTGGTTTTCACCCATTCAAATAATAGTTGCAATGTTACAAGAATGAAAGAGTCGGGGCCAAAGTAAAGATCGGAACGGATGAATGACTGGCAGTGAGATGTCTTGTCGCATTATTTTATTTATGCCGCCTCCGCATAAATGAACTGATGGTGCGTTCGGGGTGTGTGCTGACGGCGCGCGCGCGTGTTGCAGCGAAGAAGGCGAACGGCGCGGCGCTGCGCACGCACAGCCTGGGCCCCGGCGCGCGCACGCCGCCGCTCGAGCGCAAGAGCAAGCTGGCGGCGCTGGGGCGCCTCTTCAAGCCCTGGAAGTGGAAGCGGAAGAAGAAGTCCGACAAGTTCGAGGCCGCCTCCCGCTGTGAGTAACACCTTTCATTTTGCGTACACTAGTAAGAGATGCCGGAAAGTGTCTGCCCATCTGCTTCTTCCCCCTACGAAAGTAATACGGATCTTGAGTTTTTGGTGCCTCTCAGTCGTGGTGTCCTTCACTAATGTACACTGGCGGATCCAGGGAGGGGGCAATGGAGCCATGCCCTCCCCTCTCCAAAATGCCTAGAATTGTCGTTTACCGTCCTTTATTTGGCAAAATTGAATTAAATATTCATTTGTTCGAATTGTGTAATTATTTAAACAATATTGTGCAGTTTATCTACAGTACATGAATATTATACAGTATTAACAAATTATTTATGACTTAACAAAGATCAACGAAGCCCCCCCCCCCAAATGATCGGTGGGATCCCTCGTACTGCACAGGAGTGGGATATAGTTAACGTGACAAGAATCGATTCACTTCGAAGCAGTTGTTATCGTTCACTAATAACGGAATGTAAGTTTTTAGGAAAATATCTCATTTTGTTGATCACAGCCTAAATAACATTTAAAGAGTCGAGAGGATGTACCGTTTCCAAGTTACGTTCCGTGGATGTCAAGAACGTTCCAGTTTGCCTATCAGTGCCTGTTTTATATTTAACAAACATTTAATTTTCATTCCCTGCGTAAAGAATAATTGTTGGCGGTTTATATATATATATATATATATATATATATATATATATATATATATATTTTAAACCCGCATTACTTTCTGTTCGAAATAAAGAATCGTCGCTGACGCAATATGGTCAGTCCCCTCCACCATGTAACTTTTGAGCATAAAGAAGGCAGTGATATCACGTAGATTCCAGCGCTCGCGGTAAACAATAAGAGTTCGTAAATTAATACACTAGTTTTAAAAAAGTGTTGGTTACTTCAAGCAGGTTGCTGAAAGTGTAGGTAGGTTCAAGTTCATACAGTTTGTCACATGAAATATTACGAGGCGAATATCTTTACAAGGCTGTTTTGTTTCTTGATCTGAAATTAATTGTATATGGTGAAGACGAAGAGCTCATTATGTGACCCGGTTTCTATTTCGCCACCATTTACCATTTACAAGACTACCAGATCCTATTTGACCCCACGCATCCCCCACTGGTACTCCCAAAACTCGTATTCTTACAAAATTTGACCTTTTCTACACACCTTGAGGCACTTTAGTAACACAAAATACTGTTTTAATGCCTAGAATGCATGATTTTGTGTGATATTTGTGAAATTTATTTTGAATGAAAAATTGTTTCACCTTAAATCTGTTGGATGCAATGATGGGGCTTAATATCTTGTCCCAATGTAGCACACTTACAGTGTTTAAAAATAGGTTTCATAAGTGGTCAAAAACCGTTTTATATCCTTGTACACCGAGGTGACAACAGTCAAGAGATAACAATATGTAAATATACTAATGGCAGTAGTTTCGTGAACAAAATGTATAAAAAGTCGGTGCATAAGCACTGGCGCTTATAGAGACAGTATGGTTTAGTGTTTCTTCTCGGGACTTCGAACGACTTGTGTCCATGGCACGTCCAGTTGCTGCACTTCGACGGGCAAAAGGAGGTCCGACACGATATTAGGAGAAATCCCTTGACTTTTTTTCACTATAGTGTATGTAAAGGTATGTTAGACACTATAAGAGTAGAGGAAGCGTTTCGTCTCGGGTGAGAAACTATACTCGTAGTGCCAGAGGTGACGATAGTAATGAGAGGGGAGTGCTAATTCTCAGGGGTGAATAAAATATTTTACTTTCGTGTGCCTTGCCTTATTCTATCTGTTACCGCTATCAAAATCAATTTAATCTCCAGATAAAACTAAACATTGAAATGTTTCCCATACGTTTAAATGGAGTGCACATAATCTTTCTTTTGCAAGATTGTCAATGAAACCTCATTTATTATGACGTGTTGAACTTCCGAAACATAGAAGACATCGGGATCCTTGAGGGAATGTGGTATTTGCGGAAGAGATACTCTTCGCTTTGTTACAAGCGGCATTATACTCAGATTTGAGACCATGTATCCTGGCTGGTTGGGAGCGGGGCGGAGTGGTATTGGCCCCGCGCAATAGCTTCCCGCAGCCCCCGCTCACGGGCGCACCTCGCCTCCGCGCACAATGGCGCGGGGGCTTTGTGCTCGCGCCGAGCGCCGCCTCTCCGCCCTACGAACCATACCACTCCGCTCGCGCGCCTCCGGCAGCCATGTCCTATACTTCACATTCTCAATGTATCGCTGCTTTTGTTTTCCTTAGTAACAGTGTTGATAGTTGCGAACAGTGTGGAAACTGCTGGATCGATGATATTTGCCGAGAATTATACAGCGTTAATAACGTGCGCCAGGAAAGTCTCTCCGCAATGCTGGTGAGAGTCCTAGCAACAGAAGTAATGTTGGTAGAACTAGCTGCACCTTTTAACAAAAGAAAACGTTCCTTGCATACTCACCACAATTATAACAGACGTTACAAGTGTTATGCCCTTTAATTGTTTCCTAGTGATCTGCTTGCTACCAACATAAATAAAGTTTTAATAGAACGCCTTGATTCGGCTCTGTGCGGAGAGACTTTCCAGGCGCACTGCACTTTGTACTTAATATAAGAGGAGAAAATCTTCTTTCGACTTCTAGAAATTTTAGGTTCCTGGTTCAAAGTTCATATCTTACAAATATATTTACGCTTATATGACTCATTGTTTCTCATAGTTTCGTTTTAAAGATTACCAAAGCAGTATTTACGAAATATGTATCTTGTATTAGAGAGATCGACAAGGTGTCCCTAGCCTGGGGATCCCATTGTGAGGCACACTTAACTTATCTGGGAGCCACGCCCGACTGTTTTTTTAAAGACCATTGTCTTCTATGATAGGTGACGAGACTGCAGCCAGCAAAATGCAAAGATACTTTAAACATATTTGCCTGGTATTTTCATCCTCGACCGTAATGAGTAAAAAATAATCTATTAAGAATTCAAATTAAATAGAAAATATTGCAAAAATGTGAGACACAACTCTGCTTGTTGGATGTCCTTTCGGGTTATATCCACTGCCCTCCTTAGAATGCGATGGAGCAACACCTTACTCGAGCGTTCTCAAGAAGAATTGTTCTGAGGACTGCATTCTTTCAGAGTATTATGAGGCGGTGTATTAAAGAAAATTTGAACATGTGGTGTCTCTTATTTTACGACATAAAATTCCATTTTGTTGGTTTTTTTTTTAGAATATAATTTTGAAGTCAAAATTATCCTACAGAAGTAGTGAAGAGTATGTCATTAGCAGTATCTTATATGCTGCACATAAAAAAATCATGAACCGATAGTTTTCTTGGAAGGTGCAAAGCTAACTCTTTGAGCCTTTTCCTTTCGATTGATCCAATGCCTAAGCCGCGTACGTACACAGCCAGGTCTGAGCGATACAACAATTGCAACCTGGGGCGTCTTCCAAGGCGATAAGAGTTGGAGCACTTGTTTCTATCGCTAGATCGGAACACTAAAAAGCACATAACAATGTTTTTGTATTAATGTGTTAGAATCTACTGGATGAACTCGAAAACAAATAATCAGTTCCCCTCCAGGAGGCCGAGACGTGTCGAATGTGCGTCGGTTGATGGGCGGCAAGGAGTCTAACCGTGAGTAACGGACGAACGGTCGCAGGTTACTCAAATACTAGATAAAGATGTTCCAATACGTATTAACTAGTATTTTCAGTTGATCTCAAAAGCTGATGTAGACGTGAATTCATTTGAAGAAGGCGTATTACTTAAACTGCTTCGGAAGTGTAGTTTGAGAGAGTTTTCGAGAGTTCATCTCTCTACTAAGTACGGAGAAATATTAGAAACTCTGTCTCTTCTGGATTTAAATTTTCGGTAAATTTAAAAAAAAACGTTCGTTGCATTCCCGGGCTCAAATGATTTCTGATGATGTAATAGAATTTCTTCGATCCCCAGACACGGCTAGAGCTAAGTTCTATTAGGGCGTCAGAGCACGGAGAAACGTGGAAAGGCGGAGGCCACGGTTCAGTTGAGGCGTGCGCCCAGGGAGTCAGAATTTACGCGGAACGAGACAAAGGCACAGCGACGGAAACGCTTCATGTGATTTTCCTCCATGCACTTGAGGCAAAGCCCCCAGAGCAAAAAAAGAACAAAGGCCAAAACAAAACTAATCCCAGAGCCATTCTTTTGTGCGGATTAGTGCAGTTGGCTTTTCGAGGAAAATGCATGTGCCACGTCGTGCCGCCGCCGCCACCCCTATCCCCGCCAGACTCACGCAGCCCTCTTTGCGCACCACTCATCACCCACCCCGCCCCCCGGCGGACTCGCTTCCGCCCTCATGCATTTCCGTTTTCACCTCTGACACTACCTACTGTAGGAGTACCCCCCACCCTCGAAATGTTTTGGAGTTTCTTGAATTTTCACAATTTATAAGGAAGAGTTAAATTTTTTATTATTGTGAAAATTTAAATGTTTTATAATTTTTGCGTTACTAGAATAAGATATCAATGTATTTGGCATTTTAGTGTCGGATTAATCCGACTTTTGCCAGCTAATGATGTTCCCAGGCTTGGGACCCTACTTTCATTTATTATTTACACCAGGAATTACGGGATACCAGTGTCGAGCATGACTTATTCCAAACACTATACCTCGCGTTCTTGGACTGCCTGATCTTTTTCTTTTGCCACGCGGCAGTAGAAACTCAGATGACTTTTTTTAGAAATCTACAGCTGTATTGTTGTCTGTGAAATGTCGAAGTTCAATTTCCATTCTACGAATTTACCTTCAATCATTTCTGGGGGGCGTTTCGTGTGACTGCGCCTTGGGTGCGGGAGGAACACCCTTGCGAGGCCAACACCCGGGGTCCAGCGTTTCGTCCCTCGGAGGTGGAGTTCTCACCCACCCTCCGGGGCGACGTGTGCAGCGCCGTCGCGACGCAACCGAGAGGCGCCCTGGGAATCTCCCAGGCTGGCCCCCTACTCCCACATCGCCCCACCGTACCCCGTCG